TATTATTATTATTATTATTATTATTATTATTATTATTATTATTATTATTATTATTATTATTATTATTATTATTATTGCTAATTATTCCTTCCAACTTATAGTGACGCTAAAAACATGGCACGTGATGTAAATAATGCACTTATCCAGATAGCGCAAGCATGTGGTGGTATGGATGAAAACAGTGCGATAGCGTATGTCAAGGATTTAAGGAACCGTGGAAGATATCAAGAGGATGTATGGAGTTAGTGTTGTATTTTCAATAAATACTTGTAGTGAATTCGTGGTATTCGGTTATAGAGTAACTCAGACAGGTCATGCGGTTCCACGAACCAAGCATCGCCCTAAAAATCAGTTACGTTTTAGGGCTTGAGATTTAATATAACACCGATGATTCTGACTTTGAATATGCGTAATAATATTGATTTGTAATTAATGTTAACTAGATAATTTTATATTATTTATATAAGACTATATTAGCAAAACAAATTTATGAAAGTTTTGATTTGAATACACAAAAAGAAGTCATTAAAATATAATGAATTCGTAATATTATAATTGTGCTGAAGTTCTAAGGCGTTAGAGAATTTTCAAGAAAGAAAAAACTTGTAATTGCTTGACATGTATCAAAAGCGAAATTATTGTTTTTGCTTTGCTTGATTTGAGAATACTGTATTAATCCAAATATAAATAATCAGCAAATAAATCCGAATTAACGGGTACATATACATAAAGTTGCCTCTATAACTCGTTCTGAACAGGTTGCTAATAGTAACTCACGGTAATCTACCATAAATTTGCATCAGTTTTTATATTTATAACTAACGTCCGGGCACGTCCTTACGTTCATTAACAAACACACATAAAGAACTTTTTTCTCAAACTTATTAGAGAAAATCATTTTACTGTGAATTTATTATAAACAGTTTGTATATCTGATGAATCAAATTGTTTAAAGGACAAGATAAACTATTTAATAAATATTATTATAAAGCACACTATTATCATTAAATCCTCGTGGTGCAGTGAGTATGACATCTTATAATAAAGAGTTCTAAGTTCGATAGCTAAGTACCATTAAAAGGCTGGAGTGATTGGGTAAATGGTACTTCGTCAGAGTTTTTTTCTTCTAATTGCTGAATTGGCTAACTTTTATGGGTATAATCGGATATTCGGATTGGAATTATAGCTATTCGAATAAGGATCAATCTGTCGGTGGTTCTACCGACCAAATTGGCCAGCATTATAACTAATGCTGGCTAACTTTGTCGGTATTAGATCCTTTCTGGAATCTGTCTTTCGAGATTTTGTGGTAAAACCAATTAGATCAAGTTCCAAATTAAGCAGCTAATTAAATATACTTACCGTATAAGCGTGAAATAACGCTCATGGGCGTTATTTTGAAAATTGGGTGCTTCAAAAATAACTTATATGGTCTCGAATTAGCGCTTATGAACGAATGTGCATCCTAATGTAGCACATAATTTATTGTTGCGATAGGGTTACGGGTTAACTTAATTTTACTGAAATACCAATTTGCCGAAGTCATACATTTTACTAACAAGACATAATTCCAAAAGTCTAATACGTATCATATAATCAATAATGAATTTTACTGATAAGTCATTTATCCGTAATTTCCATTTCACCGAATATTAAAAAGATGAATGTCTATTTTACTGACATGCAATTTTTCCGAATGGTACATTTTTCTGACATTCTATTTCTTTGAATATATATTACTGAAAGCTCTTTTGCTGCAGGATGTTTTAATTATTTTATAAATTTTGGGTCACCTGATAACCAGGAAAAAGGTATAAACTAATTTGCCGACAACCATTTCACTGATAAAGAGCCTGGTTTATGTTGTTGAGTTGGCCAGATTTATGCAATTTTGTTCCTTATTGGGAAATTTCCTTTTGAGGAATGTCTTTTCGAAAAACATCTTATCAGAGAAGCATCCTTTGGAGAAATATATCAAAATATTTGTCGGCGAAAAAGTTTCATAAAAAATTTTTGTCTGGGGAACAGGAGTTCGGATAAAGGGTTTTGTCGATGAAAAAGCTTTTCGGATAAAATTTTTTTCAGAAATTCATATTGTCGGGGAATTGATTGTGTCGAAAAAGAAAAATTCGGTAAAAAATTTCTATCAGTAAAATATACTGTTAGAAATATGTCTTGTCGGAGAAAAGGGATATCGGAATGGTATTTCGGGAAGGTAGGTTTCGGGAAAGTGAGAATAAACGTTGCGATAGATATACAGTCGACACTTCATATACTCTTTATAATTGCACTTCACATCTTCACATGCACTTTCCCTATAATGATGAAGTGCACATAATTTGATCGGTCTAATGTATTTATTTAATTTAATATCATCGTTGTATTTAGTTTATGCGAATATTCTATAAAGTGTCCCGAATTAACTCAAACCTAATGTAGCACATAATTTGTTGCGATAAACGATATACAGTCGACACTCCATTAGTGTTGTCGGTAAAATTAATTTGGCAAATTAATACTGTTACGGCATGTGCTGTATTATTTGCCGTAATTACTTTGTGCTGTAATGCTGCAATGCCGTAATGCCGAAATGCCGTAATGCCGTAATGCCGTTGTGAGACCGGAAACGTGACCTGACCGCAGGCACGTGGCCTCGTGACTCGGGCATTCCAAATTGGGGTTTACCGCGGAGGCAAGACTGCTTAAAAAAAAAAAAAAAAAAATCTTGTATTCCAGGAATTTCCGGAATTACGAGAATTAGGTGAATTTTTAGAATTAGGCGAAAAGCGGGAATAAGGCGAATTTCAATAATTACAATAATTACAGTAAATAAGGGTAATTCTGGGGAAACGGCGTATTCTGCATGTAAAAATAGATAGTGATTTAATTATAAATAAAGGCCTGTTGGCCCTTCGGGAAGGATAACACCCAATAATAAAGTACCTAAGTCTATAAACATAAATTAATAAACTACATACATTCATTTATTAACCACTCGACCAAACCTAACACGCCTCTTTACACTACGTAACCTAATCTTTAGTTACACGGACCTCCTTTTGATTTAGCGACAGACTCGCCGGTTTCAGGTCTGACACCGTAATGCCGTTATATTGAATTACCATAATGTTGTTGTATTTAAATATTATAATGCTATTGCAGTAATGTGTTAAAAACTGTAATGCTGCAATAACATAAATAACATAG